CATGGGCCCAAGCGTTGTTATGTAGAGTGTGGTTGTATATATGATACTTACAATCACGGTCCAACAATCGTTATAATAAACTGGAAAACGCACGCCCTATCACCACAGATTTTCCAAAAGACCATTGTGATAAAAATAATGGTTCTAGGTTTAATTCCCAACTTCTCCGTTTTGATATTTATTTTTTCTGGACAACGCACGAAATATTATAACGGTTATGATATATAACCGTTGTTACATTTTCTGCATGGTTAACGAATATTATTCCGCTTTTATAGTTAATCCTATTTTTAACCTGTATTATTGTTCACCATATCACAGCAGAAAATACAACTCATATTTGTGATAAAGTTATCATAATAATATTAATTGTATCATATTCATAGTATCACATAATTGTATCTTATTTAATTGTATCAGAACAAACATCCTACAATTTATCAGAACAAACAACCTATAGTTTACATATTACATAACATTACATGATCATAACTTGGTATTTTGGTTTCTTGTCTCTTGGTGTCTTGTCTCTTGGTGTCTTGACTCTAAAGACCTATGATTTCAAATAATTATACTTGTTAGTAAAATTACTTAGGAACTATAACATACAATTAATATATTATGAATAAAGAATAAATTATGTACTTGTTAATATTTCCACATGTCTTCTTCATAATCGATTCGAATAGCATGCACGACATCTCCATCAACTTCATCATATGAGGTAGGAACTTGTGTTGTGTAAGAAGGTTTGGATGGAATATAAAGACTTTCATCACTAAGAGAAATGTGTTTTCCTTGGAGAACGGTTGACCATTTCCTAGATATGTCTGATGGATAGGTAACATAGAAAACTTGTTTTGCTTGAGATGCCATGATGAATGGTTCGGTCATAAAAGATGCCTTGCCAAGGTCAACCCGGGTGAATCATAAGTCATCAATATGTACATAATTACTATTATTGGGAACCCACTTGCATTTAAATAAATCCATTTTGAAAATAACATAATTAATCTTCCAAATCTCATCAATGACACCATAAAATGCGGTAGTTGTCAATACAGGATTCTTATCTTTCGAACTAGAGAAATACATTGATTTGGATTCAACCGTAACCCCACTATTTTACATTATACTATGACCATATTTTGATTTTGTATAAAAGGTATAATGACCAATGTCGTATGCGTTCCAAGTAATGACACAAAATTTTGGCTCGAGCAACAACCATTTAAGTTTCTCTGATGCACTACGAACATTAAATACACTTTTATTAGGCCAATCTATGAATCTCTTGTTATACTCTATCAGCAACAACTTGTCACTCATTCAGGGATATTTTTCCTCAAAAGTATTTTGTGAGTATCTATGAAAGGTTGAACTTCATCTATATTATTCAATATATAGAAATGTGCTTGAATAACCACATCCCAAGCTATTGACTTAACATTTAGACCTTGAATACGTCTTCGGTCTATGTCAGCATGACGAGACTTTGGAATTCCTATAGAATTTGTGTCTGAAAAATAGTTTGTACAAAATTCAACAGCTTCTTCTGTGATGTACCTTTCAATAATCTAAGCTTCTGGTCGGTGATGATTCTTCGTATATCCTCTAAAGATCTTCACACACCGCTCTATTGGATACATCCACCTTAAGTAAACTGGACTACAAATTCTAATTTCTCTGATTAGATAAACAAGTAAGTGAACCATAATGTCAAAAAAATGATGGAGAAAAACACATCTCCAATTGACATAAGATTATGGCAGCCTCGTCTTCTAGTTCATCTAATTTTTGAAATCAAGAACTTTATTACACATGTCACTCGAATTGGAAAAAGTCTCTTAAATTATGAAATTATTGGCAAGTACCATAACACTTTAGTAGGAGGATGCTTCCTACTAACATTGTCATAGTCATTGTCATCACCATTGTTGGCCTTCAGCTTGTAACGCGACACACCATATTTTGGACATTGATACAAGTCTCATACTCTTTCCTGTATAATATGCAATCATTAGGGAAAACATGTATTTTTATATACTCCATACTCATTGGACACAATATCTTCTTGGGCTCATAGCAACAATCTGATAATTTGTTATCTTCTGGTAACACTTGCTTTAGCAATTCAAGTAATTTCGTGAAAATTTTATCCGACCATCCATTTTTTCCTCAGATTAAACAACTTTAACACTACCGAAAATCATGTAAAATCTGGATATCCCTTAGATAAATGGGTGTCTTTATCACTACATAAAGTATCTTAAATATGAGCATTCTTAAAAAAATGATTCCCAATATCAAGAAATATATCCTCTAGTTGATCTTCAATATATTCATCTTCATCCGCTCTTTGACTTTGTGACACCCAACTTTCCTCTTTATCCACCTCACCACGCTACGTTCACATTATATAATTTTGACATATACCATCATAATAAAGGTGATGAAATATTTCTTTCGTTGTACCTTTTATTATATTCGCGCAAACAACACAAGGACAATAAAAGATGTCATTATTGTCAGGAAGATGTTTGTCAGTATATTCAAGGAATTCAAGAACTCTGTTCTCATAAATCAGACATAATCTATTGGCTTTCATCCAACTATGATCTATAACAACTTCTGAAATTCATACATGTATAATAATGTGAATGACACACCAAAAACTAATCCAAAAACTAAAGTATATTCATAACAAAAATATAACTTTAAACCTTAAGCATATGCATATGCAAATCTAAACCTAAATCATATGAAACATGTACTCCCATACTGTCTTGAGCATATACAACATAAAAAAAGAAAAAGGGAATAAAGATGTTGAAGAATACCGTACTTCAAAGTTGAAGAATCTTATGCACATGAGAAATGAAGATGTTGTAGAGTATCGTACTTCGAAGCTGAAGAATCAAATGAACAAAGAGGGTGAGTATTTGAGCATATACAACATAAACCAAGAAAAAGGAATGAAGATGTTGAAGAGTACTGTACTTCGAAGCTGAAGAATCAAATGAACAAAAAGGGTGAAGATTTGAGCTCCAAATAAATGGATACGAAGTGGGTAAAGATTACGCCACTGTTTTCGTCTCTGGCTTGCTTTTTCGACTAGGGAATCTTATGAAAGAAATACATAATAAGTTTTGTTTTAATTTATTAGTAAACTCTTTAATTGAGGTTGGACAATGCAACTGTAGTGGAAATGTTAGTCCTCTAACAACAGTTGGTTTACTTCGTCGTTGTTAAATCATTTACAACTTATTTATTAAATAATGGACTTAAGTGACACACGCTTAATGTACTCTAAAAAATGGAAAAACATAGTTGTTGGAATTCGACGCTTGCTACACATCATTTATTACTAAAGTATTTTAAGACAATCATCATTAAATTACTGTTTATAAATCCAGATACTCATTAGGCGCAGAAATTTTAATCTATTACAATGGTGTATATGAATCCGTTGTAAACTTGGTGTTGTTGTTTACGCATTTTGTAGTAGTGATAACACCCAAGATTTGGCTCTAGAAGCCAGAAAGGCGTATGAGGCAGCCTCCACAGTCGAGTACAAACTCAAACCCCAAACTCTAATGGGTAATGAAGCCACCCTCTATTGAAGGTCCCCGAAGAAAGGACCTCCACCAGCCACTATGTCTTTAACAACCGTATGCAACTCTTTATCAAACTAAACAGCTGCTTCCTCCATATGAGTATGTTGACACGTTCTTAGGCTAAAAAAATAATTTGGCAATATCCATGCCGGATCAAAGTAGAAGAAGCTTACTCTGAAGATTCCTTAGTTGTGGTAAAAGGTGCATTAAATCAATTGTCCTGGAAGCTCTCTTCTTAGACAACTCCTTAATGAAACTACCATCCCGACTAACAGCCCCTCCAAGCAACTTTATCCCTAACAACGACCTCTCAATTTCTGACGCGAACAAATCCTCACGAAGTTTACTACCATCGCATGAAGGCCAAAAGATCTCAGTCCTACAAATATTTAATTCAATACCTAATTTTGTATCTATCTCCCGAATGATATTAAGGGCTTTGGACACCTTCTATGAATCCCCTATAATAGTCTCATCATCAAGATATCATACATGAAGAATAAGCTTACAATTGTCCATAACCTGGTGAATGAGTGGGTGTAACACAAGAGCAAAAAGGAGCGGCCCTAACGGATCACCTTGTTGCACTCTAGTGGCTGACATTATATGTCCATCCCTAAGATACAACCTTGTTGCTTGAACATAAAGAAACTCAACTCACAAAGAAATAGATGGGCACTCACCCTCACCTCACGCAAGGCTGATCGATCTACCATGTTGAAAGCATTCGAGAAATATACAGTGAACATAGCCAAGGAATCATCTTTGTGTCGCTTGCTTAACACTCTGTTGGCACTATGTAAAATGGTCTCAGCACCACCCGATACCCCAACCCCAAATTAAAAGGCATTGAGGTAACGCGACATATCTTTACCAACCACTTTCATAACAATCTTGGATACCAACCGCTTTCAAATAGAACCCACAAAAATTGACCAGATTTTATTATTTAGGAGGCGTGTTTAGTAGATTTTTTTTATATTTTCAACGTCAGTTATTTTGACATATTTTTTCACATATTATTTTATCTTCATTTTAAATTATTTTAAAGTTTATATATTATTATCTTTTATTTTAAATTATTTTACATTTATATAAATATTAAAACTAATCAAGTTAATAGTCTCATAAAATAAACTGTTAGACGAAAAGTTTATATTATATAAATCTAACATTCGATTTTTGTAAATTTATAGTGAATTCTTGTCGCTTTTTTTTCTTCAATTTGTGTGTTAAAATATTATTTACATTAAAAAAAAGAAGTAAAACAACCTGAAAAGTCAACTATGTTGCCAAGTAAATCAACCAAGATGCGACTCTAGCTACTAATATTAATCAGTTTATGCTATACTCATAATTGTATTCCAAATGAAGTTAACAAAGATGAGAATGCCCCTACATTTTCTCTCAGTATTGCTATGTGTCCTTACTATTTTTTATTTGATACAAGCTCAAGATCAATCAGGTTTATTTGTTTATGAACTTTCCTATATATAACGCTTTATATGATGTATTTGTTACTAACACCGACACCCTTAAGAAAATGCGTACTGTGTTTTTGTCGGTATCAGATACTTGCACTAATTATTGTGATTACGTTTAATTTATTTATTTTTTCAAATTATTAACAGTGTCGTCGTGTCAGTATCGGAGTCAAATTCGGAGTGTCTGTGCTTTATATTGTTGTTGAAGTTATCTTTGTTGCTATATCTCAGGATTCATAAGCATAGATTGTGGTCTACCTGAAAATACTGGCTATGCTGAGACAACCACAGGCATAAACTACATTTCAGATGCAAAATTCATAGATACAGGTGTATCTATCAGGATACCCCCTATAGGCAACACTGTCCTACAGCAACTAGAACATGTGAGAAGCTTTCCTAGTGGAGTAAGAAACTGTTACAAAATAGATGTAACCAATGGTACTAAATACTTAATCAAAGCTTCATTCTACTATGGAAACTATGATGATCAAAATGATCCACCACAATTTGATCTTCATTTTGGGCCTAATATGTGGGATACAGTCAAGTTCACCAACTTATCACGCATCGCGGCCAGCGAGATCATTTACACTCCGTCACTAGATTACATACAACCATGTCTTGTTAACACAGGCAAAGGAACTCCTTTCATTTCGGTTATAGAGTTGAGGACTTTGAACAATGAAGCTTATGTCACATATTCGACTAAATCAGTGCTAGCGAACTTCTTTCGATTTGATTTAGGTTCCATCACAAACTTAGAATACAGGTAAGCGTTATATAATTTGTCTGATACGTGTCATACAAGTGTCAGACTCTAGAACTAATTATCTTTTGGTCATGTACAAACAACAGGTACAAAGACGATGATTATGACCGAGTCTGGTTTCCTTTTACATGGGATGAAATGAAAAAACTAAGCACCAATGAAGATATATTAACTCAGAATATTTATAAGCCACCAGGAATTGTTATGAGCACTGCTGTTACACCATTTAATGAAAGTGCTCCTATACAATTCAGTTGGGATTCAGATAATCTAAATGATCAATATTACTCATATTTGCACTTCAATGAGGTTGAAAAGCTGGCTGAAAATGAAACTAGAGCATTCAATATCACAGTGAATGGATTACTTATGTATGGACCTGAGATACCTGCATACAGATCAGTAGATACTATATTTAGCACAGTAACTTTGACTGGAGCCAGAAAGTATATATTTTCACTTAATAAGGCAGGAAATTCAACTCTTCCACCTATTATCAATGCCTTTGAGGTTTATAAATTAATAGACTTCTCAAAATCAGAAACTAACCAGGATGATGGTATGTTATTGTTAATCATTTAAATTTTCATGTGATTTTGTGTAATTTTTTGTGCATAGTAAACTATATGTGCAAATTGGTTTGAAATCCTTTTGAACATTTTTTTGAATACCATACACTAGTTGATACTATCACAAGCATCAAGAAGGCTTATGGTGTGGCTAGAAATTGGGAGGGAGATCCTTGTGGTCCTGTGAAGTATATGTGGGAGGGCCTAAACTGTAGTATTGGTGATAGCAATAACCCTCCAAGAGTCACATCTTTGTAAGTTTGCAATCCCTTAAATAAACTATATGCATAAATTGAAAAACACTGATTCTCCTCTGAAGTTACATTTGGAAATGTGATTAGGAATTTGTCTTCAAGTGGATTGACAGGGCAGATAGTATCTTCTATATCAAACCTCTCTATGTTACAATATTTGTGAGTTCATAATCTTTTTCTCAACTCACTTAAGAGGTTTTAGCAATCTCTTTTACTTAATAACTTCGTAGCACTTTTGATTAAATACTACATTATAACAATTATCTCTTAATTGGCTTGGGTTCAGTATGTTATTCACGAGTCCTTCAACTAATAAGACATTCAAACAATAGGAGCATAGACCAGTAAGATCATGATATTTTAGGATAGGCTCACCAGCATATCATATCTCTCTTTTTCATATCCATGGATTTTTTAAGGCATTTTACTTTTAGATATGGTGTTAGATAGGAATTCTTGAAAAGTGTTTTTCGTACTTATCAAAATTATATCTACGAGGATTAAGATGTTTGATTTTTCAAAAAGTTGTTTCCGATTTTAAAATTACCATCTCCTTTTCTAAGTTTCATGATATTATAATGACAAGCATATATATTTTTGAGACCTCACATATAGCAATGAGTGTTGGGATGTTCAGGAGAGTCGGGAGTACTGATGAAACTAATATTTTAGGACCATAAGAGAGGGAGACATCACATATATGTTGGAGATCCACAAAAATCTATGGAGAATTTGTATCAATCTTGATGAACAAGATTGTTATCAATACACAATAACAACAAATTAAAAAGAATTAGGATTTGACAAAATAAGAGGCGAAAAAATGGTGATTTTATGCAGAGTAATTCTCTGTCCACAAACTTTGGAAAATCCCTAAGCCAAAGCACAAAACACAAAATCCCAAAATACCTATTTTGGTCTAAGTCAAAATCCTGCGGGAAGCCACCTGCTTCGACACTTCGGCATACTATACAACTCGACACACATTAGACTATTTCGACACACCCTTGTTTTGTCGAGCAACATACTGCTTCGACACAAGAGATTACAATCTCAATACACCCCTTAATTTATTGTGTCTAAGCTATCTATAAGCATCATAACTCTTAGTCTTCTAAATATTTTGATATGCATTTCCTTCATCATGATGTCTGCAATCTGATTCTCATTCCATCTCAAATCTCTTGAGAATTTCACATGCATATATTCTTTGATGCATCATCAAACATCTACTACTCTTGTAGAATTCGATGCCAAGGAAATATGAAATGTCTACCAGATCTGATATTTCAAATTCCTTGCTGAGATCACCTTTGAAGTCTTCGATCTCTTTCTTGCAGCTACCTGTTATCAACAGACCATCGACATAGAGACATAGAGACATAGAGACATAGTATAATCAATTCACTATTGTTTATTCTTACACATACTCCACGCTCAGTTGTGCATTTCACAAATTCCTTATCCCTTAGAAAACTATTTATCTTCTTATTCTAAGCTCTTGGAGCTTGTTTAAGCCCATACAGGGTTTATGCAGCCTGTACACCTTTCTTTCTTCACCATGCTTCACAATCTCAACTAGATGTACAACATAAACTTCTTCATCTAAGGGGCCATTTAGGAATGCAGATTTCACATCCATCTAACATATGTGTCAACTGTTTATTTATGCTAGACCAACAACCTACCTGATTGTTTCAATTCTAGCAACAAGTGCAAAAACTTCATCAAAGTCAATTCCTTCTTTATGAAGAAATCCTTTTGCCACAAGTCTTGTCTTATGTCGAGTCACTTCACCTTTGGAATTCAACTCACCTTGTGTATCCACTTTATATCAATTGTCTTCTTGTCTTGAGGCAATTCGATAAGTAACCAAGTATTATTGACTTCGATGCAGTCCAATTCCTCATTCATAGCTTTCACCCATTTCAAATCCTTCAGTTCCTAAGCTGCATTGACGGGTCCAATATTTACATAGAAAGCATAATATACCAGCTCACCTTTATTATCAACCACATCATCTAGTGTAATCACACATTCTTGAAACCTTGCATCATGTGTCTTGTTCTATGAGGTCTGCTTGAGCCTGCACCACCTCTCATGTCTTCTTATCAAACTTCTTCTCTTTCGATTTTAGTGGTTGATTCTTCACAAAAGATTCTCACGGAATCTTTATTTACATTTTCAATACAATCTCATTCCTTAAGCTCATATATGATCATGTCCCTGTTAATCACTACTTGCTTGTTCACTGGGTCCAACAACTTGTAACCTCCATTCGAATTATATCCTATTAGGATCATTTGACTCAATTTATCATCAAGTTTTCTTCACACTAGACCAACATTCTTCTGGTGTAATTCCTTCTAGCTTCTTTGTCGGACATTTGTTCAAAATGTATGTTGCAGTTGACACGACTTCACTCCAAAACTCTTTAGGTAAATGCTTGCCTTTCAACATACTTCTCACCATATTCATAATTGTTTGATGCTTTCTTTCTGAAGTTCCATTCTGATGTAGAGTGTAGAGTGGCACCACCTCATGCACAATCCATTGTTTCTCACATAACATGTCGAAATCTTTCGACACACATTCTCCACCACCATCAGTTCTCAAGATCTTGAGCTTTCGACCATTTTGTCTTTCGGCCATATATTTAGACTTGGCAAATACCTCGATCACTTCACTTTTCTTCTTGATTAGGTAAGTCCACAGTTTTCGACTGAAATCATATATGAATGTAATAAAATATTTGTTATCTTCAGTCGAATCCACCTGGATAGGACCACATACATCAGAATATATGATTTCAAGAATACATGTTGATATGGTAAGATGAGTTAGCATCAAACTTACCTTAGAAACCCCATGGCAAATCAACAATCAAATTTGTTTCCATCTATAGTCTTCTTCAAACTTCAGTAAAGTGCTCTGAAACAATATACACGCATTCACAATGCCTTGACCTCAAATCACATAACTTGTTATTTTTATGAAAGTCTTCACTAGATGATAATAAACAACTACATTAGAATATTCTAAAATATATTATCCATATATTTTAGACTCTTAAGTTATGATCACTTCATCATGTGAAATCTTCAACACCCCATATTTAATTATAGTGCAATAGCCTAGATCGTCAAACTTGTTTATAGATAACAAATTTCTTCTAAGTTATGAAACATAACTCATTTTATGAAGATGCAACTCAGAATCATCAAACGTTTTTAGTCTGATCATACCAATACCATGAACCTTGCAAAACTTATTGTCACCAAGGAGAACTACTCCACCTTGCTTCATCTTCAAAGTCTCAAATTATTTTTTTCTTAGACACATGTGAAGAAAGAAACTTGAGTGCATGACCTAACTTTTTTCAATCTCCAAAATAGACACCACTAGTGCACTAACACTCTCAAAACTATCATCATTTGAAGTTATAACAATCTGAAAAAAAATCTTTATTGTTCTCCCTTTTGCGACAACCCCTCTTGAAGTGACATATTTTCTTACAAATAAAGAATTTAAATCTTGACTTATAAAACCTATTTCATTTAAAGATCTCTATACTCTCACTTACTCCTCTTGAGATACTCAAGCCTTCACCACTATCGTTAATCTTCAAATCTTTTATCTTTAGAAATTCTTTGAATTTCACAACCGTCAAGACTTCATCAAAAATAATATTACCTTCCTTACCATAAAGAAGGAAATCCTTAAAGTGTTTAAATGATTTGTATAATGATCTTAATAAGAGTAAAGATTTGTCTTCGTTGTAACACCACAATTCTACCCCGACAAATTATATAAATAAATCAGAGTTATAAAAATCATTCATGCAAACGAATCGGGATGCCACAAATTCTTCTATCAAAATTCAATGCATTTATCATGGATATGTATATATATAACACTTTTAAAACATCAGATGAACCATCATCATGACATCTTTAATTAAACAATTCAACATATATGCGGCGGAAATTCTTAATAACATCTCTATCATCATTACAACAACTTCAAAACAACACAATTTAATAATAATCAACTTAAAGTTCAACAACTGAATAATCAACAATCAAAAGCAACAAGCGTTCATCCGCCCGAGTGTTACATATCAGAGCAATGACAACGACTCGAGCTACTGAAGGTATACAACCTTCACTCTCGATTACCTGCACGTTACCAACATAAGGGCAACATTCAAACAGAAGAGGTGAGATATCTAACAATATAATAAAGCGCATGATAATTAATATATTAAATTAGATCACATAACATCACCACTTCTCATCTCATAATCAAAAATAATAATACACATTCACCACATCAATACACACTTTTTTATGCGGTCATATAATGCGACTCAATACTATGCAAATGCATGTGGTACCATTTAGAGAAGAACTCCCATCTAAATTTTTTGCCAATTAATAGAGGCGTTAACAAGGCATAAGCCTTCATCTCAATATTCGCCAATACAGGTCATCTCAACGAGCATAAGCTCCATCTCGAAATGAAATGTATGCGACACAATCATGAATGTAGTAACAACACCACAATTAACAACATCTCAATACAACATTATCGTTGGCCAAAGGCCTACATCTAAAAAGTATCTCAACATCTCTTCATCAAACATCTCATATCATTCATAATAATTCATCAAACATCATTTATTCATCAAACATCATTTATTCATCAAACACAACTTCATTAATAACATCTCATCAACAACTCAGCTGTACTTTAATACGACAGTAACTCATCAATTTCACAACGTTGGCCATAGGCCTATACTAGATATTTCCTATAATTAATTAACCAACTAAGGCTTACTTCTAAATCATTAAATCTCTACATACTACTATTCCGTAATATTACATCGTTATTATTATTAATCCTACTGTTACAAATCAAACAACAGCTTCTAAGCATCTCATCACAATTCTTCTCCATATAACCAACATAACGATCAACACGAGAACTAATTCAAATCCTATGGTTATCCTTCCTATCTTTATTTTAACCCTTAAGAATAAAACTCATCGCGTTAGCTATTCAACGCTTCGAATGGCACCTCAAACGGAGTCCGAAAACTCAAGTTACAGCATTCTCAAACTGATTCTGCCAAAAACCAGGCAACATGGATCGAC